CGTGCAGCGCGCTCTGGGCCTTCAGCGCTGACTCACGCTCGCAGTAGGTGAGGAAGGCGCAGCCTGCGAGGGAAGCAAGCGGCGAGAGGGTCAGTGGGCGCCCGGGCCGCCGCCGCCGCGCCCGCCCGCCCGCCGCCCTCCGTCTCAGCCCCTCCCTGCGCTGGGTCCTTCTCCCCACCTCGCTCGCTTTCTCTCCCGTGCGCTCCTCTCGAGCCTTCCTGCCTCTCCGTGTGCCTGCCTGCCTGCCTCTCGTCCCTCGCGTGGTTACTGTTCTGTTTCCCTCCCTCGGCAAAATCTCCCCACCCTGCATCTTCCCCTCCACGCCCCCTCTCCCCATAGTCTCTTCCTGTCCCCATTCCCTGGCACCTCGGGGGCCTCTGCCCTCTCCCTTCAGACCTCTCTGCCTCCCTCCCTTCATCCGTTCCTCTGGGCGCTGTTCTGTCTGTTTCAGCTCCAACCCCAGTACCTCCCAAGGGCAGCTTTCACCCCTCGCCCCAGCACCCCAGGCCACACTGGACCATGAAGTCCTGTGGTGGCCTCCCGCAGGCGTGCTGCTGGCTGCTTTATCGAGGATGATGGGGGGACCCCCTTGGCCTTCCAAATACAGGCTCCACCAGCAAGGAGGACCCAGGCCAGGCTGTCCTAATAAAGTGAACGGGGCTGCCCACGTGCCCCTGCCCTCGCCCACTGTGCAGTAATAGCTTCACACCCGTCCCAGCCTTGGGCGTATTCAGTCCACCCATGGGCAAGGCTGGGCCTGAGGCTGCCCCTTGCTCTGCCTCTAATTCCCTGGGTGACCTCTGCAAATCACAGTTCCCAGCCTGCGTTGTTCTCCTCTGTGAACAGAGAGGTTGGCCCATTGGTCTCCAAGGTTCAGCCTCGCTTTCCCCTCGAGGGAGTCTGCCAGTGCCTCACCAGGAAATCCAGATTTTAAGAGCCCTGTTCCTGACTCAAGGGGTGACTTTTTAATGCCGGCCTTTCAGGCACAGTGACAAGGCAAAGAGAATGCTTGCTGATGGGAGAGTCTTTCTGAAAGTTCCCTCAAACTGCCCAGTGCCGGGGGCCTCTTCCTCTGCCCCCAGACCTGGCCGAGTGTGACTTGGGAGGCCTGCCAGGCTCAGAACGACAGGGAAGGTAAAAAAGCCAATTTGGGCCAACAGCAGGCTTGACCTGGGGAAAAGTGGCCTGACACTTTCCAACACCACACATGGCCCCAGAGAAGGCACCCTGTAGGCTGGCCACTTCCCTGTTTCACTGTTTTCTTTTCCTCCCTTGTTTCACTCTCTCATTATCTCCCCCCCCCTTTTTTATTTGCTCTCACAGTCACCTCGCTTGGTATGCCTCTCCCCTCATTTAGACCTCTCCCAATCCCATCCATCTTTCAAGAAACTGATCAAGGCCCACTTCCTCCAGGCAGCCCTCCTTGATTGGTTTAGTCCATCTCAAGCCAACTTCCTTCCTTAACTGTCCACAGCTGACCATTTGGTCATTCTTATGGCCATTTATCATCAACTGTCCCCTGAGTCCCATTGTGAGTCAGATTCCGTGCCAGGCCTGGTGGCCCCCTCTTTTCATGAGGCCTGTAGGCTGGTGGTGCCAATCTGGTGCCAATGCCAGCCCTTGTTATCAGGCTTGCTCTGGCCTCTTATTTTCTGAGATGCAGAGTGCTCCCAATGTCCTCTCCAGTCCTGAACCCTCCACCAACCAGTGAAACCTCTTTCCTCCTCTCCCAATGTAGAAACTAGTCCTGGCTCCCTTCCTTTCCTGGCTTCAGAGAGGATTTTGGAAGGGAATATATGTGTGAGGGGAACAGAGAAATGGAAGGAAGGAAGCAGGGAGAGAAAGCTGGAAGACAGGACTCTCAGGGTCCCCATGGGCTCTCTGCCCTTCCTCCAACTCCTGCCCCAGGCTGGGAGGAGCTCAGTGCCAAGGAGCCCCTCCCACTCCACCTCATCCCTCCCCATCCAGACCCCAGGCCACCCTCCCCCTCAGCCTCCCTGTTTCTCCCTCCTGGTCATGGCAGACGATTATTGATGGAGACACAAAGGGGACTGAAATGAATAGCGGTCAGAGGCCCCCGTGACGTTGTTCCTCGTGCTGCTGCCTGCCTCTCTGGAGTCTCTTTCCTCCTGTCCCTCTCTGGCCTTGTCCTCTGCCTGCACCTGCCTGCAAGGAGGAGGCCGCCACTGTCTAGCTGTGTGCAGGCAAGCCAGCTCAGGACAAGGTCAGGGGCAGGTCTGGAGAGGGAGGAGGAGGGAGGAGAAGGAGGAAGAGAAAGAAGAGAAGGAGGGAAGAGGAGGGAGAGTAGGAGGGAGGAGGAGGGGGAGAAAGTGACCATATTGTTTCCATGGCCTAGGATAACAAGGAAGGAATTCTAGATAAAAAGAAAATAATCTGTTGCTTTTGTCTTGTCCAGTTTCCAGGAATTTCCGCCACAGTTTTTTTTTTTTTTTTGACAGAACTCACCGCTGCATTTTAAGGGACCCCCAGACCCCGGGCAACCTCCCCTGACATTTCTACTCCTTGACCTCACCTCCTTCCATTTTCCCGCTTGCTCACCTCCTGGCCTCTTTCCCATTTCTCAGCCCTGCCAGGCACAGTTCGTCCCAGGACCTTTGCACTGGTTGTGCCCTCTCCCCAGAACGACCCCCGCCCCACCATCTGCATGCCTTGCTCCTTCAGTCTCCTCAGGCTTCTGCTCAACTGTGACCTCCCCAGAGAGGCCTCTCCTGGCCGCCTCACTGAACATGGTAACCCGCCCCCACACATGCTCACTCTCTGATCCCTCGTCGTGGTTACTCTTCTCTTTATTGCCCCATCAGTGACACATTAATAGTGTATATTTGCTCCTTGATTAGCAGTCTCCCCACGCTCAATGGGGTTCTATTCCTGTTTCGTTCTCAGTGCCCAGAACAGGGGCAGGAACTCGGTGCATATTTGTCGAGAGCATTGAATCGCGAACACCTCGGCTACTTTGGAGGGGACCAAGCACGGGGAATGGGGGGGGGGCACAGAAGTGGTGCTCTGAGGCTGCTGGGAGCTGACCAAGGCTCCGAGGACATGGAGGCACACTGGACCTCCCTCGTGGCAGGGGACAGAGGTCGCCTGTGAGAGTTGACAGGTGGCCCGGCCGGGAGGGCTCTTTTCCCCAAGGCTTCCTCAGCCCATTCTCCTGGGGCCTGCAGTGCAGGTCCTGCCACTCCCTGATCCCTCCTCAAGGTGGTGGTGCCTTGACAGGCGCATGCGCAGTTCCAGACAGGAAGCTGTGCCAGGTGGACTCTCACCAACCGGGCCACTCACTGATTCCTCTCTTTGAACCCGTTTCCTGGCCTATAAATGGGGATAGTCACTCCCCTCGTGGCTTGTGGGCAGACGTACTAGCCCATGAGTATTAACAACCTCTGCCGATCTCTGTAATTACAGAGTGAGGTGTAAACACATATTTACTCTCGTGAAGGGGGAGGTCCGAGGCAGCATCCCTTCTGCCCGGAGAGACCAGCCTAACAGAGGCTGCCGGGGCAACCCACCCTGGCCTTCTCTGTCCATCTCTGCAGCCAGTCAGATGTTGCTTCTGACAGTCTACCCGGGAGATGAGTTGTCTCCCTAGGGCTCTTTTAAAAAGGCAGATTTGGAATGACTATCATCAGCAACGACAAGTGCTGGCGAGGATGTGGAGAAAAAGGAACCCTCATGCACTGCTGGTGGGAATGCAGACTGGTGCAGCCACTGTGGAAAACAGTATGGACTTTCCTCAAAAAACTAAAAATGGAACTCCCATTTGACCCAGTGACCCCACTTCTAGGAATATATCCCAAGAAACCAGAAACACCAATCAGAAAGGATATATGCACCCCTATGTTCATAGCAGCACAATTTACAATAGCTAAGATTTGGAAACAGCCTAAGTGCCCATCAGCAGATGAGTGGATTAAAAACCTGTTGTACATCTACACAATGGAATACTACGCTGCTGTAAAAAAGAAGGAACTCTTACCATTTGCAACAGCATGGATGGAACTGGAGAGCATTATGCTAAGCGAAATAAGCCAGTCAGAGAAAGATAAATATCACATGATCTCACTCATTTGTGGAATATAATGAACAACATAAACTGATAAACAAAAATAGATCCAGAGACAGAGAAGCATTGAACAGACTGTCAAACCTGAGGTTAGGCGGGCGGCGGGTAGAGCGGGGAGGTAAGAGATCAACCAAAGGACTTGTATGCATGCATATAAGCATAACCGATGAACTCAGAGAGTAGGGGGGTGAGGGTATGTGCTGGGGGGTGGGAGTGGTCAGGGAGAGGTCAATGGGGGGGAAAGGAGACATATGTAATACTTTAATCAATAAAGAATAAATGAAAAAAATAAAAATAAAAGTAAATTAAAAGGCAGATTCGGATAAGCAGTGACTGACCAGCGACTAACCAGCGACTCGAGGTGCTTGGAGGTGCCATGTCTGCTCCCTTGCTGAAGGCAGAGCCTGGGGGATGCAGCCTGGTGGGGAGGGTGGCTTCATGAGGAGAGTTTGCCATCACTGGGTGTTTCAGAGCACGGCAGGCCTGGGTGAAGGCCGAGGTGGGGGCTCAGGGTGGCGAGGAGAGAGAGGGTGCCCAGGTAGTGCACACAGAACCCCACACAGAAAAACTGGTGTTTTTCTTTGTTTGTTAGTTATTATGTTTGTGTTAATCCTTACCCGAGGATATTTTTCCATTGATTTTTAGAGAGAATGGAAGGGAGAGAGACAGAGAGAGCAACATCAATGTGAGAGAGACACATCGATTGGTTGCCTCCTGCATACACCCTGACCTGGGGCCGGGATGGAGCCTGCAAGTGAGGTACATGCTCTTAACCTACATCAAACCTGGGACCCTTCTGTCTGAGGGCTGATGCTCTATCCACTGAGCAAATCCAGCTAGGAACAGAAAAACGAGTTTTGACTTCCCCTCACAGCAGCTGAGGAGGGGCTTGGAGCTGTGAGGGTGAGGTAGGGGCCACAGCTCAGCAATCATGACATCTGTCAGGCTCACTCCCCTGTGGACACGCTTGAGGTGTCCCCAG